AGAATGAAAGAACTACAATACTGAAGAAAATGTTAAAATCCTATAGAAACTAAAAGATATGACTGATTCAAAAGGCACAATGATAAGAATGATGAAGGGAAAAAAATTAAAAATCCATGCACAGACTGTAATAAAACTGTAGACATGAAAGGCAAAGAGATTTTTTTTTTATGCAATAAGGTGAAAAAAGGTTAGTCACAAAGACCAAATAATTAGACCGACAGTAGCCCTTATCTATAAAAACAATAAGAACACTGACAAAAATTGTCAGAATTAACTATTTTAGAGCTCTGTAAATACAACAAAGGCTTGTAGCAATCCAAGAACTGTTTACTAAGAAACCAGGGGAAAGCTGAATATAAAGTATTTTACCATGGTCTAGTGCAAGCTCCACTCTCCAATTATGTGGTAGCTTTGACAACCAACAGCCCACAATCACGGTAAACATAAGCAATTTGACAGCCATTAGAGGGAAAAACAGTGGAGTTGGAGCTACTTCAAAACCTCATTCTCCGCAGAATTGTCATTCTTTGACTTCTCTGATGGTTCCTAGTAAGATCTCACTCAAATACTGTGTTTATTTGACCTGACTGAAGACCTCACCTAAAGTGAAAGGCACTGTTTAACTTGCAGCTGTTTTAGGAAGTAAATAAAAGTTGAAGCAAACAATAAGCTAACTAAAAAGTCTAAAAGGGGAAGTTGGGCAATTGAGATGTCCACAAAGACCGTCTAAAATATTGGTAGGAATCTAGAAGGCCATATACATGGTGCTATTGTGCAGATTCTCATGTATGTGCACATGCACAGGAAAGAACTCAGAAGGCCCTAGTTCTCAATTCTGGAAAACTGTGAAGCCTTATGCAAGTAGGAAGTTAGTACTAAGGAATAGTTCTAAATGATACGGCTGACTGTTGAAGACTGACCCACCAAGTACAGAGTCCATCGGCAAAGACAGGAAAATATATGGATTCCAATCATGTCAGAAAATCTCTGTTCAACCACTAGCTGACCAATAAACTAACCAGGTAGAGACTTCAAGAACCACACATGAGAAAGAATGTGCATTTTATATAATTATTTCAGAACAGTCACTAAAATAAACAGCAACAATAACAAATTCTGAAGGAGTCAGAGATACATTTTCATAGTTGACAAATTAATTCAAGTGAACAGTTTTTGAGAAAAAAGCATGAGACATTCAAAGAAACAAGAAAGTATGACCCATATACTGGAAAAATATACCCAACAGAAACTATTCTTGAGGAAATAAACTTTGAACTTATTAGGCAAAATTTTTAAATGATTTTCAATAACAAAAAATTCACTAGAGAGGCACAAGAGCAGATCAAGCAGCCATAAAAAAGAACTGGTGAACGTGAAGATAAATTAATTATCTAGTTAGAAAAATAAAAGAAAAAATAATTTAAGAAATGAGCAGAGCCTAAGGGACCTGTAAAATATTACCAAACTTATCAAACAAATGCATACTGGCAGTCAGAGAAGACAAGAGAGAGGCAGGAAAAAAAAAATTGATGGCTAAAATCTTTGAAAATGTGATGAAAAACAACTTAAATAACTAGGAACTTCAATGAATTTAAAGTAGTATAAACTTCAGTAGAAGTAGGCATATTATAATCAAACTGCTAAGAGCCAAAAATTAATAGAATCTTGGGCTGGACAGTGGCTCATGCCTGTAATTCTAGCACTCTGGGAGGCCGAGGTGGGTGGATAGCTAGAGCTTATAGGTTCGGAGACTAGCCTGAGCAAAAAGCAAGACCCTGTCTCTACTAAAAATAGAAAAACTTAATCAAGAGGATCACTTGAGCCCAAGAGTTGGAGGTTGCTGTGAGCTACGATGCTATGGCACTCTACCCAGAAGGTGACAACTTGAGACTCTGTCTCAAAAAAAAAAAAAAAAATTAACAGAATCTTGAAAGGAGAAAGAAACATAGGACTCATCATTTCCAAGCATCCTAAATAAGATTAACAGCTGATTTCCCATTAAAAACATAGAGGCTATAAGGCAGTGGGATGACATATTAGAAATGCTGAATGACAACCAAGAATTCAATGTCAAGCAAAACACTATTCAAAAACAAAGGAGAAATTAAGACATTTCCTAATAAATTAAAACAGAGAACAAAAGTTGAAGGATTCTTCTGGATTTTAAAGATTACAAAGTCACAGTAATCAAGACTATACATAGGGACAAGTAGATCAATGACACAGAATTTAGAGTACAGAAAAAAAACTTAACATTTACAATTAACTGATTTTTGACAAGAATGCCAAGAGAATTTAATGAAGAAAAAATAATCTTTTAACAAATGGTGCTAAAACAACTATATATCTGAATGGAAATAAATGAAGTTGGACTCCTATCATACATCCTCTTAAAAAATTAACCAAATGTAGGGCAGCACCTGTGGCTCAAAGGGGTTGGGTGCTGGCCCCATATGCCGGAGGTGGGTTCAGACCTAGCCCCGGCCAACGACTGCATTTAAAAAAAAAATGTTTAAAAAAACAAAAATTAACCAAAAGTATATCAATGACTTAAATGTAAGGACTAAAATATAAAACTTTTAGACAAAAACTTAAGTCTAAGTTTTCATGACACTTGATTATGCAATGGTTTCTTAGACCTAACACCAAAAGCACAAGCAGCCTGGCTGAGGTAGCTCATGCCCATAATCCCAGCATTCCTGGAAGCTGAGGCAGGAGAATCACTGGAGCCAGGGAGTTTGAAACCAACCTCAGACATCCCTGCTTCTACCAAGAGTAGTGGCAGTAGTCCTAGTTACTGGGGAGGCTGAGGGAGGATGATTCCTGAAACCCAGGAGTTCAAGGCTGCAGTGAGCTATGACTGTGCCACTATACTCCAGCCTGGTAACAGAGCAAGACCCTATCTTAAAAAATCTCCCCAAAATGCACACAAAAAACAAACAGCTTGGATATGAGGGCACTCTGGCTGCAACGTCTATCAATCCATTGATCACTAAAGTTGATTATGTATATCTAGTTGCTAGGCAGGTGACCCCTTCCTCACTGCTCCATATGCATCTCTCCCTAAGGAGTACACTCAGTTGAAAATGACTTTCCCAGAGAGAAGAGGACCATTCTTTGGTTGAGGCATGAGTAGCTGCACTTCCCTACTAGAACTTCCAAACATGCACTCACAAGCATAAGCAAACATAGAAAAAGTAGATAAACTGATGTGTTCGAAATTCCATCAAGAAAGTGAACTAAACCCCACAGAATGGAAGAAAATAGCTGTAAATAATTTACCTAAGGGACTAGTATCTCAAATATAGAAAGAGTATTTATAATTCAACAATAAAGGAACCCAATTTACAAAGGAACAGAGGCTCTAAATAGACATTTCTCCAAAGAAGATACACAAATGATCAACAAGCACATGAAAAGCTACTCAATATAATCAGACATTGGAGAAATAATGCAACTTCAAATCACAGTGAGATACAACCTCAAATCTACTAGCAGGCTATAACAAAAGAAAAGATAGAAGCCAGTAGACAATTTAATACATACCCTCATAAGAGAAAAACTCAAATCAACTCAAGGTGGGGGGCAGGGGAATGAGGGAGCAGGGAGAGGGGAAGTGGGCAGGGGATAGGGGGTTATGGTATATGCCATACCTCTTGAGGTGGGACACAATTATAAGAGGGACTTTACCTAACAAATATAGTGTAACTTAATTCTTTGTACCCTCAATGAATCCCAAACAATAAAAAAAAAAAAAAAAAAAAAAAAAAAAAAAAAAAAAAAAAAAAAAGGAAGGATATCTTTGTGTATAAATCTCTGTCTACATTTTTAATCTTACAGTAAATTTTGGAAATACTGGATGAAGGGCATAAACATGCATAAAGGTTGACATCAATTTACAATGGTAATGAAAATCCCTGTTTTTGTTGCTTCAAATAGTACCCTACACTGGATTATGATTTATAGAAATCTTTGTTATGATGTAAATGGTATCTAAGTGGTCTTGTAATTTGTACTTCTTAGTTGGTATTGTTTGTGTTCACATAGTAGTTTATATCTCTTTTGAAATCCCTTTCTATATATTTTCCCTGTATATTTATTTCTATGAGCTCTTTAATTATTTACCCCTTGTTCGTTCACTGTAAATATAATTCCCAGTCTGGGGCTTGACTTTTATGTTTTCTTTTTCTTTGACCACACCACAAACCTCTTCTGCTGTCTACCCCTATTAATGACAGCAAGCAAAAAACCTGAGAGCCTTAAAGAAACCTTTCTAGCTCTTTTCCTTTGGTGAGGAGTGAATGTCTCTAGAGGCACAGGCCTTCTCTAGCCTTGTTGATGCCATGACCCACAGCACATCCTTCTCTGAGAGCACCTCCTAAACCCCAGCTTGATGAGTGATTCATGCTGTCTATCTAGGCCTTATTAAAATGCAAAGCTGTTTCTTCTTTTTAAAATCTCAGTCACACATATAGTTTTAAACCTAATGAGGTTTAGGTAAGTTAAAATATTTAAAAGTACATGTAAAGTGCTATATAAATGTTATCACAGAGAATAATTATTCAGAATAGCAGGAAGGAAGGAATCAACAAAAAATACTAGAAATTATAGGCTTGGCACCTTTGGCTCAAGTGCCAGTCACACAAACCTGAGCTGGTGGGTTCGAATCCAGCCTGGGCCCACCAAACAACAATGACAGCTGCAACCAAAAAAAAAAACAAAAAACAAAAAAAAACCCAGCCAGGCGTTGTGGTGGGCACCTGTAGCCCCAGCTATTTGGGAAGTAAGAGGCAAAAGAATCGCTTGAGCCCCGGAGTTGGAGGATGCTATGAGCTGTGATGCCACAGCACTCTACCCAGGGTGAAAGCTTGAGGCTCTATCTCAAAAAAACAAAACAAAACCCACAACAACAATGAAAAATACTAGAAATTTTGCTGTGGGAGGAATATAACCCAAGACAGACAAACATACATAAGTAAATCGACTAGAAATCTCACCGAAGATCCAGACCAGCTTCTTTCCAGAGTAGATCCATCAAGCGCAACATTTGGAGTGTTAACATATCCTGTCGTAAATCTAAGGAGAAAAAATTGCTTCATTTCCATTTTATGCCTAGTAATTCATTAACTCAAGGTTAACTAACTTAGACAGAATTAACTAAAACCATTAATAAATTCCATGCTACTTCTTTTCCAAAATGTTAATGTTGACCATATTCACTATGTTAAATACCAGGATCATTGGTTAGCATGTCCCTAGAACATTACTTCAAAAATTACATTAAAAAATGCATAAAATGGTTTACCAGATATAAGCTACCATGCTAATTGTTTGGATGCTATACAGTTTGTCTTACATTGAATGTGTACTACACCACGTCATTTTTTTTCCTCCTTTGCTTTTTAGGGCTAGAGAGTTCTTCAGAATCACATAAGTAACTGCATCATGGGTCCACAAAATTGTGATGGTTAAATTATCATGTCCAAGGATATTTTCAGGGAACATAGTATGTGAAAGTAGTAACATGTATATAATGACATTTGTATGATAAAGTGGGGTTAAATGTCTAGCAAAACACTATGAGTTCTTTATAAAGAAGATGTAAGCAGGCAATATGTTAAGCATATTTCTTTATGTGATCTCACTTAATTCCTTTTAATAGTCTTGACGTACAGGTGCTATAATACTCAGGATATGAAGAACCTGAAGCTCAATAGTTTTCTGTGCGACTAACACTTCATGACTGCCTTTTGGTTGATGTGATTACTTCAGAACAACTTCTTTATAAAATTGGGTCAAGCATATATTTTTATTAAAATGCAAAACCATGGCAGCAAAATCAATATTGCTATCACTGAAACAGGATGTATGAATACACTACTGAAAATATCCTCTTGTATTTCACAAGCTTTTTATCAAAAGAACGTATGCGTTGTAAAGAGGAAAAAAAGAAAGGTTTATTAGAACAGTATATTTAAGTGAATTGTAAAAGTCATTTTCAAAGAAGAAAAAAAGGAATCTATGACATGTTGAATTTGATCTTATGACCACTGACAGCTACTTCTTGGTTTCTACCTGTTACACATTTACATATCACCTTTCAGATAAAGCAAAACAACAAATGAAAAATTTTAGGGAATCTGGTGCTATAAAAAAGTCTCAGTACTTACCATCACCATTTTTAAAAATCACTCCAACTGAATCCTCACCAAATACCTTGTTGTTATATACCAACCACAAAGGCTTCATTTTGGAATCCATGTATTTGCATTTTTCAACACTAAAAATCAAAAAAGGGTAAAATGAGCCCACTTCAATTTGATAATATGCAAGATAGTAATTTTACCCTGATATACTAGGCTTGGAAAAAAAACCCTCACTTCTTCCTTTCAGGTCTGCAGAAGTCAGACCTAGAAAATTTTGTCTTGGTAGAAATGGAAAACTGAGGACAGCCTTGGTTGATGTGCACTAATGCCAAATGGGCTAGACTCAGATACATGATCTGCCTCTTTTTTTTGAGATAGTCTCACTATGTCACCCTCAGTAGAGTGCTATGGTGTCACAGCTCACAGCAACTTCAACAAACTCTTAGGCTTGAGTGAGTCTCTTGCCTCAGCCTCCCAAGTAGCTGGGACTACAGGTACCCACCACAACACCTGGCTATTTTTTTGTTATTATTGACATTGTTGTTTTAGCGGGCCCTGGCCAGGTTGGAACCCACCAGCCCTGGTGCATGTGGCCGGCACCCTAACCACTGAGCTAAGGCACCAAGCCAATCTGCCCTTTTTACAACTCTTCAGTTCTTTAACTTTATTATCCTTACTGAGTAAAAAAACTGGAACATTATCATTATATCATTCTTGATTTCTTAAAGAAGGATAAACTTTGAATATTGCTATTATACTGAATATACATTTTATTTTTCCATTTTTACTCTTGTAGAAAATAAAGTGAGAAATACAATTCCAAATTTGTTCAAGATCTCATTTGGAAGTAGGAAAGTCAATTAATAAAGTTCACTGTGGCTTCCAACATTTTACTCATATTGGATTTTTAACTCCTAGAAACCAGTAGTATTTAAAAAATAAATTTAATTACCTATAACTGAAAGGAAACTAACTTGCAATAACTTTCACTAACCCCACAAGAAATTTAACTCATAGGCTATATAAGCAGAGGCTATGACTTGTTGAATTTGATCTTATGACCACTAACAGCTACTTCTTTTAAGGTTTTTATTCCTTATTATATTGTAGCAGGCCCTAGTGCTCCTACAAGATAGGGGTTCAGAAATCCTTTCTGTGTTGCTATTTTTCGCAGAAGACTCACTGAGCAAAGCACAGATGGTCACTTACTAGAGTTCAGAGAGGATGACACATGGGTTCAGAGGTGACTGCAGGTCAGAGAGGGCTTCCCGGTAAGCACTCTGTTTTAAACAGGTATGCATGGCCTCCTTCCCTTTGGCTCTGTTTAGCTTCATAGCATTCAGTTTGATTAAACTATTTAAAGTTTTTAACTTATTGAGTGCTTCAACCTGAAAAATAAGTTCCCCCACCCCAAAATTTACTTCTGATTAAAAATAACATGTCATGTGATCATATTAATCAGTAGCACCTACCCTGAACATATACATATAAACATATATATACACATAACAACCAGATAAAGCAAAAACAGTGTTTGGTTTATGACAAGCATTTTACATACAACTGAATAAATATCTTATTTTTAACATTTGTTACCTAAGGCACTGTTCTCAAACTTTCTTTAAACTTTTTCTTAAACAGAAGCAAATAAATTAGAGAAAAGTATATAGACACAGATTGTAGGTATTTAAGAAGCACAGTTCCCTGAGTAATAGAATTTGAAACACCACTGATCTGAACCACTCCACTTGGGCTACTTCACAGTATAAGTGGAAAGTCTATGTAGACATCAGCAACCCTAAGGTTCCTTATATTTAATCTTAATATCTACTTATCATTATTCTTAAATGACATCTCAATATATTCTCCTTCCTTTAATAGTATAGCTACAACAGAATACTATGCAATAAAGTAAGCGTGAATATGAACACAGTATTTTGTAGTATCAATCTAAATTACTTGTTTTGGTAATGAGGTAATTACAGCTATCAAAACTTAATGTAAATTAAAAAATGCAGGAGGAGTGGCTCACACCTATTATCCCAGCACTCTGGAAGTCCAAGGCAGGTGGTCTGCTTAAATTCAGGAGTTTAAGACCAGCTTGAGCAAAACTGAGATCCCACCTCTACTAAAAAAAATAGGAAAAATTAGCCCAGCTTTGGGGTAGGCCCCTGTTGTCCCAGCTACTTAGGAGGCTGAGGCAAGCGGACCGCATGAACCCAGGTGTTTGAGGGTACTGTGAGCTATGATTCCATGGCACTCTACCCAGGTGATAGAGTGAGACTCTGTCTTTATTTTTTTTTTTTTGAGACAGAGCCTCAAGCTGTCCCCCTGGGTAGAGTGCTATGGCATCACAGCTCACAGCAACCTCCAACTCCTGGGCTCAAGCGAGTCTCCTGCCTCTGCCTCTCAAGTAGCTGGGACCACAGGCGCCCGCCACAACGCCCGGCCATTTTTTGGTTGCAGCCGTCATTGTTGTTTTGGCGGGTCCGGGCTGGGGATTCGAACCCGCCACCTTAGGTGTATGTGGCTGGCGCCTTAGCCGCTTGAGCCACAGGCGCCAAGCCGACTCTGTCTTAAAAAAAAAAAAAATGCAAGTATTACAAGGTAGACCAGCAACAGCCAATGAAATCAAAATCATTGTGCTAAAACTATCAACTATATTGTTTAATAACTGTGTCTTTTAATGTCATATTGTGTAAAATTCATAAGAAATTCCCTCAGCCAACCATAAATCAGAAAGAGCACTGTTTTTAAAAGTATTTCATTAAAACCAGAAATAAATATTTAAAAATAGACTTAAATATACATACTATATACAACAAACATAATGTATTGTGTCTTGAAATTCTGTGAACAGGAGATTTGCTTTAAATCATACAGGGAAACCACCAAGACTATACAAGGAGGTGAATTCAAGCATGCAATTGCTATAGATAGGCTGAGACCCTGCTCACAGGAAATTAGGAAGGATAGGTAAAACTGCCAAGTCAGCCATCTGTCAAAACCACAGATACTCTACTTCTCAGCAATTTCAGGAGCTATACAAACACTGGTAAAAAGGAAACAAAATGAAAATTGGGCTATGCAAAAAAGAACTTTTGGAAGTACTACAAATTTGAATTTCTTCTGTGTGTATACACTTGGAAATGTTTATGTTCCATCTCTAATAGTGTTGATATTCATTTCCTGGAACTGTGTCCTGAATACCCCAGGGTTATAAGTAAAATATTTTCAGTGTTTCAACACCTTGTCAAAAAAAAAAATAGTGAGAATAATTTGTTCATACTTTATGCATCCTTTTGTATAAAAGTCAAGCTGAGGGCCCAGTGCCTGTAGCTCAGCAGCTAGGGCACCACCCACATACACCAGAGCTGGCGGGTTCAAACCCAGCCCCGGCCTGCCAAACAAGAATAACCACAAATAAAAAATAGCCAGGTAGGAGAATCTCTTAAGCCCAAGAGTTGGAGGGTGTGATACCATGGCACTCTACCAAGGGTGACATAGTGAAATTCTATCTTAAAAAAAAAGAAAAAATCAAGCTGAGGCTCCAAGAAAATATTTGGTGTTATTTAATTGTTGGTGAGAGACACAGCAGTCATATGATGAGGTCAAATAGAGACCCAAATAGGACTTTATAGGCTTTGGTAGAAAATTTGGAATTTATTCTCAGTGCAGTGAAAAATTATTGTGGGGATTTTGCAAGGGAAATGATATAATACAAGGTATATTTGTTAAAGCTCACTTTATCTGCTGTGTAAGGAATGTGGAGGGAGATGCAAGAATGGAAACCAGGGACATAATTTAGGATGTTAATGAAAAAGTCCAGGTGAGAGAGAATAATGGTTTGTATAGGTAGTCCCAGAATTATAAACATCCGACTTACATTTGACTCAGACTTACTAACAGAGACTATGACAAGTAATAGGTAAATGTACCTGCTCTAACTTACATACAAATTAAACTTAAGAACAAACCTTCACAACCTAACTTGTTCATAACCTCGGGACTGCCATGAACACAAGCAATATGGGTAGGTATGAAATATAAGATTAACAGTATCCCATGGTGAAGAATAAATGGCTCATAATAAATGATTAAATGTTAACTACTACTACCATCATTGCTTTCCAAAAGGAAAGGATCAGAGATGGTTGCTTTAACACCATGAAAACCCCCTAAACAATAAAAACATCTAATGGATGCCTATGAAAGTTTCTCTGGCCATGCAAACGAATTAGAAAAGTGTGGTACATCTGGGAACCACCATATGGATCTGATATAAAAATAGGGTGGGAATCTAGAAGGGTACAGGAGTGAACAGAAAATTAAAGGTGAGGAAACAAAAGGCCTTCAAATTGAGATACATGTCATAAGAGCTAATGTAGGAGAGCATTTGCCATAAAGAAAAAATAATATACCAAAAAGCAAAGACTAGAAGACTTATTTACTTGTCAAATACAGCTTGTGCTGACGCTTATTCCATCACAGTAACGATCTGGTCAGCAAACCTTCAGAATTCACCTTTAATATGCAACCATATACCTAGCTACCTTTAATACTTTTATCAGTGTTGATGACAACTATAAATTCTCCTACATAAGAACCATAGCCTCTTTCTCTCAGCCTTTCCCAAAGAAACCTAAGACCTTTTGCCAAAGTAACTTTGCACTGAGGAAAAGTAAACCTTTAGGACTACTGGGCGCTGGCTCTAGACTGACACTAATTCCAGAAGACCCAAAATGTCTCTGTGGTCCACTAGTCAGAGTAAGGGCTTACAGACGCCAGGTATCAGTGGAGTTTTAGCTCAGGTCTATCTCACCACGTTGGATCACCAAACCAATCCTGTTATTATTCCCCCAGTTTCTGGATGTATAATTGGAACAGACATACTCAGCAGATAGCAGAATCCCCACATTAGTTTGCTGACCTGTGGAATGAGAGCTATTATGGTAGTAAAGGCCAAATGGGAGCCTTTAGAACCGCCTCTACCTAGAAAAATAATAAATGAAAAATAACACTGCATTCCTGCAAGAAGAAATGAAGAGATTAATGCCACCATCAAGGACCTATAAGATGTAGGGTAGTGATTCTCATTCTGACCCCAATCCAACTCAACAGAACTACTTAGCTATGTAAAGCAGAATTATTTCCAAAACAAAACAGAGAAATAAACTGGATACTGAGACTGAAGCTGTCAGCAATAACCTTCAATTTTGAAATGTTCTATTCAATAAGATAGCTTCACAGGTCTCTTAAATAACTTACATTTTATTTTAGCTTTGTAAAATAGGTAACAGTATTACCTCTGTGTAAGTTTTGATAACAGAGAAAGAGAGATACTGCTAAAAAGGTTTGAAAACTCAGTATCATACAAAGAACTTTGGCTTTACAACAGCCGGACAGACCTAGGTTTGAAACTTAATCCTGTCATTTTATAGGTGTATCTTTAAGCAAATTACTTAAACACTTGAATCCTCAGTTTCCTCCTCTGTCAAATGCAGAAGTAATGCTTATTACTTTGGTAAATTATTAGAAAAGTAAGATAAGATAATATACTTAAGACACTCAGCATGGTTCCTGACATATGGTTAACACTTAATAACTTACCTATAATATTAGCAATATTTCAGGACTTCAGGAGAATATCAAAACTTCAGTCATGTATATATACTATAAAAAGTAGCTGTGGATTCTGAATTCTAGAAACCATAACACATGCGAACTTCAGTTTCAACTACCTCAAAATAGTATTTATGATTCATATATGTGACACAGTATAAAAATAATATTACACTTACTGGGAAGAGTAACTCAGGAGTCTGAAAAAAACTGGTCTAAAAATTTTGTGACCATTCTTACCCTCATACACATATTGAACATGTCTTAAGTGGAATGTTCTTTTTTAAAAAGACACTTGCAGTAGCCTCATGATCATTCACTGCAACCTCAAACTCCTGGCCTCAAGCAATCCTCTTGCCTAGGCCTCTCAGTAACTAGGACTACAGGCTCAAGTCACCACATCCAAATATGACTAATTATTTTTCAAGTTCAGTTAAAGTTTTTCTGCTAAGTTTTTGAAACTTCACTTCTTGACTTAAATTTTGATGAAAGAATGTATTCATCAAGTTCAGTTCCTGAAACTTGTATGAAATAACACGGTAGGAGAAACAGCATTTGATAAAACACCATGCACCAAATTGAACACAAAGATGAAAACAAGCTGACCTGCTTGGAAAGCACTTTCATGTGTCCCACACTTCCCCGGCAATACGCTTCAAGGATGACACCAAACTGTATCGAGACAGCAGGAATGTGCACTTCTGACCTGCAGAAAGTTAATAATAACCAAATGGCTCATTTATTAAAACTTCAGATCAGCAAATAAAAATACTGACTTATTTGACAAAGAAATAAATAAATTTATGATGCCAACAAATGAAAAGAACAGGTCATCTCATATAATTATTAGTGAGATGGTCAACTTTCTAATAGGTTAAACTTCAGAGTTTGAAAAGTTATGAGATTTTATAAATGGTTCATTTTACTTGAGTTGCTTTTCAGAGGAGAAAAGTAATCTTACCAATTTAGAGACAATTAGACTGAAAGAGATCTGTGAAATTTGATTGACACTATACAGTTGACTAATGTCTTAGTCTATCCAAATTTTTTCTCACTTAAAAAATAATTTTACAGGCTGGGTGTGGTGGCTCATGCTTGTAATCTCAGCACTTGGGAGGCTGAGGCAGGTAGATTGTCTGAGCTCACAGGTTCAAGACCAGCCTGAGCAAGAGTGAAACCCCGCCTTTAAAAACAGCTGGGTGTTGTGGCGGGTGCCTGTAGTCCCAGATACTTGAGAAGCTGAGGCAAGAGAATCTCTTAAGCCTAGGAGTTTGAGGTTGCTGTGAGCTATGATGCCATGGCACTCTACCCAGGGTGACACAGAGAGACTGTCTCAAAACAAAACAAAAATTTTTAAAAAAGGAATAATTGTACATATTTGAAAAAGGAGGGAACATTTATTTTGTCATTCCCTGAGGGGTATAAAAATAAGACCAAAATAAACATTAGTTTCAATATTCTGAAGATCAGATTTTAAAAACCCAAAAGGTCTAAGTACAGAGTCAGAAATGAGAAATCTACAATTTCCTTAGGAAACACAAGGTTGACTTTAGTTGCCTTTCCTGGTTCTACTCCTATATGAACTTGGTGAAATAAAGTTTGTATATTTCTAAAAATAACCTAGTTAATAAAGAAACTGAATAAACTTTCTGTAATTATAATAAAACGTTATCTTCACTTAGCAACACCAGTGATAATACCATACATAACCTTCTGGAAGGAGTATATATTTAATCTGAGTGATAAATAGCAATACATTATTAGTTTTAGTTAAATGTCAAGCAAGTAGGCATGGATGGACATTTACCTGAGTTACTCTGCCAAACCATAAAAATTACAGTCTGGGTTTCAAGAAATAAGAGAAGGTACCAAATCAATGTAAAAGTTATAAAGGGTTCAGAAGCAATTGAAGTAGCTGACTATTCAGTTAAATGTTTTCTTTATGCTGGTTTGTAGTTACTAAAGCACATGGTGGGCTCAAATTGAAAATACAAAAGACTTACCTAAGATGCCAAAACAGAAACTGCCCTATCCTTCTATTAGCAAGTGCTCTTTCTAATAGGAATCTAGAAAGGGCACAATCAAGAAAAGGCTCATATTTTAAAACTTGCACCAGTTGTAAAAGATATTGAGACAATTCTTCATCACTGAAAAGAAACAAAAGACAGAGTAACTCAATAACCTGTGCCAGAAAAAGGTCCCTTCCTATCACACTATCAAATACTAACTTATTATAACAGGATGCTTCTATTGGGCCACACTTGCTGCATGCTTTAGGACCAGACTAGCTACATGCTTGCATTCACTGTACCACTGTTACAGCATCAGAACAAAAGCGGAAGCTATGAGAGAAGGGGTAGTAAAGAGGACCAAAGTACAGATATATAGGATATTTAAATCAAATGAATTAAGACTATTACAATTAATGGCTGTATTTACAATCAGTTTATTACTATTACAATTAGTGACTGTATTTACAATCAGTTTAGAGTTACCAAAATAATTAGGTATGTTAATATTAATTTCTGATCATGCTGGAAAACTTTACTTAATCAAGCAATCATTTTGAAAATAAAGTTCCAGCAGTATTTTAGCAATCTTTTCTTTGCTATCATTAGGGTTAACGCAGTCCTTCTTCCAGATATCAGTGAACAATTAAAATCTTAACTTCAAATAGTTAAAGGATAAGGAAATGAATACATTTGTAAGCAAGGAATGATTCACACTGAATTAATATACTGTAATTAATGGGGCTGAATTAATTAAGGCCAGTGGTTCACTATTTTGTATTATCTCTGAACCATCCACCTGTAAACGCACTTCCATCAGAGGTAATTCTGATAGTATATAGTACGAATCCCAACTGCTCCACTTACTAACTACAGTCTTCGGCAAAAAATGGTTAAGGAATTAATATAAGGTAGAGCTGAGATGGAAACTCACAGGACTATATACCAAAAACAAAAACTCATAACCAGAAAACTTGACATGTGAAAAACCCATTAGAATTAGCTAATGGAAAGTGGGGACCACAGCATTTTATAGAGGGTTGAATGCATTTAAGAAAAACGGTTGGGTGGCGCCTGTGGCTCAGCGGGTAGGGCACTGGCCCCATATACTGAGGTGACAGGTTCAAACTCAGCCCCAGCCAAACTGCAACAAAAAATAGCCAGGTGTTGTAGCCAGCGCCTGAGACAAGGGAATCACCTAAGCCCAAGAGTTGAAGGTTGCTGTGAGTTATGACGCCACAGCACTCTACTGAGGGTGACAACATAAGACTCTGTCTGGGGGGGTGGGAGGAGGGGACAGTTGGGTCAGCCCAAAGGAAACCAGGTGGCCCCTCCCCCATGAAGTCTCCAATGCAAACTTAGAGAAACAGTGTACCAATTGGGAACTGCATAAACCTATACCAACCACAATCTTAATTAGGTTTATTGTAAAATTCATGTCCAATGAAAAACCCCACAAATTATATTAAAAAATAGAAAGCATAAAAACAAAAGGAAGTTTCTTCTCTCACATTTCTAATGGAAGTCCTCAGAAATAATCATTATTGAAGAGTTTGTATAATTTCCTTTGGATAGCACACAGTTTAAAAATAAACAATTAAAAAAAAAGAATCACATTATCCATACTATTCCAATATCTTTTACTTCTCAAATAACCATACAGTATATAAGCCTCATTTTTGAGACTAGAAAGAAAATAGATAAGCCCTATTTCTGAGGCTGTCATTTCTTTAATAAATCCTGTAAACTCTCACAAATGTACTGCCCAAAGAGGACTATACAAATGTGTTCAGTACAGCATTGTTGACAATAGGAAAATTTTGAGACAACTTAAATGTTCCTTAATAGAGGAATGAATTAAATAAGATACACGCCTATGAAAGACTATTATATACTAGTGAAAGGAAGAAACTATATTGATAAGTTTTTTAAAAGAAATTAGTGAAAATAATATATATAGTAAGACATTTGTGTGATTTAAAAATGTACAATATTATTCTATATCCACATTTTTATACATATAAATACATATAAAAAATTCGGTACATGCTAAGCAGAAGGTGCCTATGTGGTAAGGCACCAGTAAAAACCTCAGCCACCAAGTCTGTAACAAGGTCCTCTGGTAGACATCTATTATCATATCTCATTGCTGGTAGAATTAAATATGTTCAGTGTAAAACCACTGGGAAAAGACCCTTATAGGTTTATGCTTGGTCTCCTCAGACTTCACCCCATGAGACTTTCCCTTTCAAATTTTGCTACAATAAATAATATCTGTGAGTATGACTATATGTTAAGGCCTATGAGTCTTCCTAGTGAATCATCAAGCCTAATGAAGATCTCAGGGACCTCCACACTCAGTATGCTTTAGTTTTTTTATAGTCTGGAGTAAATATTGGGGGTAGTGGGTAGAGAATGTAAAGAGGACTCAAGCAAATTCTTTGAACTCTGAGTAATTCTTAGCTGTTTTCTTTCTTATGAAACATT